AATCTTGACAATTCTATGCATGCTGAAAGGACAAATGAAAATAAATCTATTATCAGGTACATGCATTGAGTACAATGTTAGAAAACTGTGGTTGATGTAGAGCCAACAGCAAAACAACAAATGTCGTACTCATTTCACAAAATTGAAGAAAATTATGTACAAGTGTTGCAATCCCATTTCCCTCCTCTATGATGAGTCAAGTAATGTGGAAAATGCCATTTCCACTGAAGGTTTGTAGTGGAGGAGTTCCGTTCGGTTAGGTTTGTGACGGCTTCTTTAATATCCATGCACAGAGAACCTTGGATGCTCAGAAGTAATACTCCTAACAATTAAAGTCTGCACAAGCTGCCGGCAATATAGCGCCGCTGAGAGATTACTGCGTGACTAGGAGGAAACGGCCTCAATTATCTAAACGGTCTTAATTATTCGTCCACGGTGCACTAATACGGAGGAATCCCCTTCTACTGATTTGTGGCTGACCAGCTGGTGCTTGACCAGGAAGAAAGCGTCCATTCATGGAAACTCTTTGGCCATAGACAGTAAATGAAACTATAAAAGGGCACCCCCATGTACTGACATATTGGTTATGGCATAAATCTTGACTTTCTATCTGATTGCTAATGAATAAATCCTTTTGTTATGAAACCGAAGTCGAGTGTTACAGGTTCATGACTGATCAACTTATGTTCTTTCTTTTGGAATTAATTAAGTGGATAATCCATAATCTTTCCATCTTGATTTAGCCTAGGATAACCCTTGTTCTAGACCGATTTTGAAATGAATTTAGCAATCAAATCCTTGACTATACCGCATCGCCCTTGTGGCACGTTGGCGAGGGGGGCATTGGAATACCAGGCAAACGGGATTATTCACATTCTGTTTTACTCTCTGAATTACTGTGCGCACTCGGCAGCCAACCAGTCTATGCAGCCCTGCCAATAGATCTGCCATACGTTAAATCAAACAAAACTTGAGATTGAACCAACGAAGAGTGGTCTGTCATTTAGTGATTAACATAGCTCTTAAGCAAGCAGTTTCAAAGTAAATGATAGATCTCCATGGTTAAAGAAAATACACTATGATATATTTTGCCATACTATCCTTGCTTAGGTCGGTAGAAATTTTTCACAGATTAAATGCGAGGTTGCATTTATGAAAAGCTGTGTTAGGACCTTTTAGCAGGGCAATGAATGCCGGATTATGGAAAAAAGCAAAGCAGGGGATTAACGGATTGACTGCTGGACAAGATCTGAATAACTATAGCTCGGATTGCGGGGTTTACACGGAAATATCCTTCCAGACATAAACGGTATTAAACGACAGGATATAGGAATAGAATGAGGTTTCCCCTTCGCTGATTGCTGAGTGGCAATGATGCCACTGAGATGATCGAGTCTGTGCTCGAGTTCGTGCAAACTGTGATTTATTCGAGTTCTCGGCCAGCATAACTTCGTTTTTTACATGAATGCGAAAATAGCATAGCGTCGTTTAGCGCGAAGGAACACTGGAATGCATAAGTGGCCGGTAAACGTTAGCCGCACAAGC